CCCATTTTATTTTGTCTTAGTTCAAGGTTTAAAGAGAGAGAATAATTTAGGATTAAAGACAAAATAAAATGGGTCATATCATATTTTTTAGTGGGTCGAGTTAGGTGGGTGGATCTCTAAATGGTTTAATTTATTTTTTAAAAATTTTGGTTTGTTATATAAATAATTAATATCAACAAATTTTAACTCAAAAAATAATTTAATAGATTGAGTGACTTTCTGAGGAAACAGTTGATAGTTGAGTGACTTTTGAGTTAAAATTCAAAATTGAGTGATTTTTTAAGAAAGAAGTGCATAATTGAGTGACTTTGTGAAAATTAAAAATTGAGTGACTTTTGAGAGAAGAGTGCATAGAGTGATCATCTGAGATATTAACTCCACTTAATCATTGACTCTTATATGAATTGTTGGGATTAAACAACTTAAAAGATAAAATTTTAATACAATTTGTATTATTATTTTGGACCAAGTTGTACAATTTTTTCTAACAAATCGACTTCATCTTATAATACGCTTTACGTAACTTTTTCTTTTTCAGCTATTAATTTGGAAAAGAAAAAAATCTTGATCGGTGATTCTTACTTATTTCATGAGCCTTATTCGACACGAATTTGAATTATAAATACCCTAAAAAAATCAGACATATTGAATGAAGTCGATCCGTAAGTAGAATAAATGCTAAGGTGGGCATATTTTAAAGGGGAACAAAAGTACTATGCAAGAATTATTATTTTTCTACTTTCTGAGACTTTAATGATATTTCTGGTTATTATACTTTAATAGTTTATAGCATCATGTTCAATTTTTTTAGTATATTGTTGGTACTCCTTTAATAATTCTTTTGTACCACCATCTCTTGATATTTTTTTTAATATAATTAGAGCTATCGAGTCCGTTTGTATGAATTTGTGATCTGTCATCTTATATTTGTAGTAGTTTCATATAATTTGATTTATCAAGATGAAAATAAAGGGAAATAAATTATGTAATAATTTTTTTTATTTTTAATAAGATTTGAACGAAAATCTCGTTGAAACATGATTCTCAGCTTATTATAACGTCCACTATCGCTTACTGCGTTTGGTTACAAGAAAATGTAGCTATATATAAACTAAAAGAAAATTAGTAAGAAAAATAATTTAGTTTACATCTTTTGTAAGGGGTGAGACTTTTCATATATTAAGGGTAAAAAAATGTTACTATTTTCACAATTATAAAAGCATATTATTAAAGGTAAATGGTAATTTTATAAGTAAGAAGTTCATATTAAATAAAAATTATTTTTAGATAGACTAAGAAAATAAAGGAATAAAATGAGTACCCCAAGTTGATAATCATACTCCATCACTATTTGATTCTAATAATTTATCAATGTCACATGTTGTAGAAACATATAATCAAAATACTCATCAATAAAAACATGACCCATCTAATCTAATTAAGTTTGGACGTATTAATAATTTTTTTAATCATTTATTAAATTAATTTACATTATCCGATTAGTTAAATCTATTTAAACTTTGAATTGATATAATATAGTGTAAATATTCCTTTTATTCATGACTTATTTTAAATTATAAAATTTTTTATTTTTATAAAAAAAAATTTAGTATTAAATCAAATAACATCAGATGAATTAAGACGGAAAAAATATTTATTTGGTAGTTTGATGATTCCTTCATTTGGAACTTGCTTTTGCGTAACGCTTTGGATCGGCCCACACTAAAATAGACAGAGCGTCGGCTGATTTAATTAATTAATTGGATAACAAAAAATTAAAATCATCAAATATAAAGAGAGAAAAATAAATAAAGTAATTAATTTACCTAAAATTTTTCAAATTCCAAAATAAATGCTACATAAATATACGTCTATACTAATAAATACTAGTTCATTTATAGTTGGAATAATTGTTTCGATAACTTGTGAAATTATATAATTGTATTGGAAAAGAATAAAACGAAATATTTAAGTTATTTGAAAATTGTAACAAATAGTCTAATAGTTGTGTTGTTGAAAGGGATATGCTAACTTCGAATCTAACTTGGCCAACCTTCATGTTACTATGTTATTTTCCACCAAAACAATAATTGTTCCAACTTAATTTCAAACACGTCATATTGTTATTGCGTCAGTCAATTCAATTTTTATTAATTTTTAAATTTTTAATTATTTGATTTTCGATTAAATCAATAATTTTCTTTTTCATACAAATCTAACATGATTTCTTCAGTAATTTACGTGATTAAATAATAATGTTACATTACGGAGTGCTCATAAAATAAAAACAATAATAGCAAATATGAAAATAACTCTACAAATGCAACACAAATAAAAGGAATAGGCAAATAACATGAATTGAAGGTTAAAAGACAAACATAGTAACTAATAAGATATTGATATTAATATTTGCTACTAATATTTATATAGGTGTAAAATGTAAATTAGTAAATTACAATTGTCTTAATGAATAACCGATTTATCTAATAACTTAATACTAAAAAAAAGACTAAAATGAAACCAATAACCTAATAATTTTGCTATAAAAGCATTATAGACTCATTTATTTAATAACTCAATAGCAATAACGTAATAACATTAATTCTTTCATTTTAACCTATTGACCGATTCAATTTTTATACATCACTAATATTTGTTACTCTAAAAAAGAAAATATCATTAAACATTATGTAACAAATTGTAAACGTATTTTTCTCTTAATGAGAAGTATTTTACTTTAAATTGAACACGTAAATTTAGACAATAAAAACTATTTTATTTTAAAACATTCTATGTCATGTGAATTAGAATGATGAAAAATATTTTATTTCAAATCAAACTATATCACATGAATTATGATAATGAGAAATATTTTATTTCAAATTAAATTATATCAAGTGAATTAGAACGATAAAAATATTTTATTTTAAATCGAAACGTGTCACCTAAATTAAAACGAAAAGTAATTCAACAGCTTTCATAGTGCTGTCATGTCATCTCACTATCTTTTACCAAATCCACGTAATACGTCTCCCAAGAATAATCTTATGTCATTCAACTACGTCATAAATATACAAAGTATGACGTCACAGCTCTATAATAAAATATCTACATTACTGTAGCACTTACAAACTCAAATTTCCAATTTTTTTTTATTTGTATCCGATCTTTGATATTCATATTAAAAATTTACATAACTTGAATTTAAATTATGTAAAGTGGATTCAATTAAGATTTTTTTCATATCAACATCTCTATCAGGAAAAGAACGTCACTCCAACATATTTTCATACCAAAATCTCTATTAACAAAAGAACAGTCTCATTCACTATACCATATAACTAAATTTTCCAAATTTTATTTTTATGGACATATAAACTCCCACAGCCCCAAGAATGGTCTCATTCATTGCGACACATATCTAAATTTTCAAAAAAAAATTTGTCTATCACATATCAAAATCTCTCGTAAAAAAGGGACGATATGATGTGTATATCACAATTTCTATTAAGCAAATAACAGTCTCATTCACTGAACCACGTACCTAAATTTTTAAAGTTTTATTTGTCCTCGCATATAAATTCTCGCAGACCCAAGAATAATCTCATTCACAACACCACATGCCGAACTTCCCGAAATTTCATTGGTCTGTCACATGTAAATTCTCAAAGTTCTGTCACTTTAGCATATAATTTTATTTCTAAATCGACTTCTTTTAAGTCCCAAGTCTTCTACTACAAAATTTCGTCAATGGAAAGTGAAGGTGAAAAAAGAAAACCAAATAACAACGACGTCGTTTCGACGTCCGCTACGAAGAAGCCGAAGGAGGAAACGGAAGAGTTAACGGAGGAAGTAGCGGAAGGGGAAGTGGAAGAATTCTTCGCGATTCTACGAAGAATACAAGTTGCCGTTAAATATTTCAATAGAGTTGACGGAGCTAGCTCTAGTGGACGGAAAATGACGGAGGAGATTGATCAAAAACTCTCCGATGAAATCATCGGAGATAATGAAGACATGAAAGAGAAAGAAAAAGAAAAAAATGTTGAAGAAAATAGTAAAGGTTTTGATCTTAATATAGAGCCATATAATAATCCTCATGATGATCATGAGAGTAATTCAAGTTAGATTATATATATTTTTTAGGTTTTATCGTCGTGTAATTAATATTGTAATCATTTTTAATAATAACATGTTATTTGAAATTTACTAATTCAATTATATCTATTCTGGATTTTAACTTTGTAGTTCCAACTCAATTAAAAGGGAAGCGCCCTTCGAATTTTTCAATTATCCTTGGAGATGGTAATAAAGATAAGATTTTCATTAAGGCGATTCATCGACTATTGCCTTTATACATATAGCTCTTTTTGTGAATAAAAGTATTTCAATTTATTTGATTGTTGTAGAATTATATGGTGAAATGATGTTGTTAACTACATGTTCTAGCAGAAAAAATGTAGGTGTATAATACTATAATATGAAAACTAACATGAAGTTTTTTTACATTTGATATAATTATAATTTTAAATCTCATTGACTCAGACAACTTTTTAACAAAAGGTTATTTATCTTTCTACTGTTCAAAATTAAAAATCTCTGCTTAAGAGTGAATAACGGACCTCAACTATTTCATCATTTACTAATAATTTTATGAAAATTTCGTATTAGAATATTTTATACATTCTGTTTAACTTGTTATTTAGCAACTTCTATCGACATATTTACCCTGTACACACCCCTTATACCTTAATGGAGAAACGCCAAAACTAAAGTAAGTCTAATATGGGATTGATCAAGATCAATCTCATGTATAATAACTTAATTTTTCACTTTATTATACAAAAGCACTAAATTACTTTTGAAATGAAAAAGGTCATTATATGGATTTACCTAAATTTGGGGGAGTCACTTTTTTTTTAACAATAATTAGTTGTGACAACAAGAAATTTTGATGGTAAGTTGTTGTAGTAATAGATGAATTAATAATTAGCTATATCTTGAATTTTTAAATAATCACTACAAATCCTTTTGATTGCTGGAATATATTAGCATCTAAGTCCATCAAGTATAGGAAGTCTTGGTCATTGGCTCATTGCTAATAATTCTGGTTTACAACAACTAAAAATGAAAGCAAATGTTGGGATCGAAATAATCAAAGCGTCACATGGAAAAGCTAATAAATATAAATTATGGCGGCGATAAATCAAATAACATATAAATACATTCATATAAATTATCAAAAGAAAATCCTTATAATAAATTTTTAATACATAGCATGATTATGTAACAACTCTACTCATTACTATCCTCGTGTATATATATATATATATATATATATATAAATTAATTACCATCGTTCGTCTTCTACTACTTTGATATATAGACATATATACATACATAAATATAGAGTTACACTTAAAATACATGTTCTATTTATGAATTTTTCGCTTAGAATGAGATATTATATGCATTTATACATGTATTGTGCTAATTTTTTTTTAAAATAAAGTAATTCTACATTTTAAGAATATAGAAAAATCTAGTTTTTTCTCTCTTTCATACTATGGGCTCCACTTTAATATAATTTAATATAAATATTAAATAATATTAACCTTTACCATTTTAGAGAAGAACAAAAATTACTATAATTGAATCGTGTCACACATTCTATTTTTGCACCACCACTAATTTTTCTATAATTGAGTGCCCAAAATCTAAATGAATCTTTTCATTTCAAAATTCAAATGATTATGTAAACTTTTTTTTTCCATTAAATTATCATAAATGTTAAACACTAATATACACGAATCTTATAAAGTTGTAAAGAGCCAAATTAAATAAAACAATTCATTGAAAATATAACATTTTGTATACACAACTTTGGGGTTTTCTTGTCCACTTTAATCCCTAACCATCAAATATTTTTATGCAAATTGGTAATTTTATAATGCCAACATACTATGGCATATAGAAATAGAACCTTTAATAAAAGACCTTTTGGAGAGTGGAATATTTTCTTAAACAAAACAAAACAAAATGAGGAGACATTAAAACTAGAAACTATATATTAAAGAAAGACCAAACATTGATTAAGATTGGTGATTATTGTCTAATCCTAATGAAATTGTTCCACTCTAATTTATCTCTCATTTAATATTCGATATTCACTGTAAATAAATTTTTTATTAATATAAAAATACGCATAACTTGCACGTCGAATCATTATAATTGTGGTGGATCATGAATCATAAATCTATGGTGAAATTTTTTTATAACACTATTTTGCTTTGATATTTATTTAATTGTTGCATTCAATCCAAGCCTTCAAAAATTTATATACTCTTACTTTTATTTCTTATAAAAATAATGCTCAACAAAATTCAATGATGGTGTTCTTCAATCCACCCAACCTAAAATAGTCACACATAACCTCTCCTAGTTTAAAATTTATATGACCTTTTTTTATTCTTTAATCTGTCACCAAAAAACTGATGTCGTTTATAATTTAATTTTAAAATACTTATTTTATTTTTAATGAGATAATTTGTTTCAGATCACAAAAATTTAATTTTTTTTTTTATAAACTCAATATCTTTTGTTTCTTGTCAAATAACATCATATAAATTGACACCAAAGACATATATAATATAGAAAAGTTGACGTCATATAAATGACGAGAGACAGAAGAATTATTATATGACGTAAATGGAAATTGCAAAAATCACGTTGACTATTTCTATGAAGAAGAATAATAGAAGCTAATTTACTAATATGGTCCCAAAATAAATGGCATTGACTATGATAGTTTTGTTATTTGCAAATCCAATATAAAAGTTCAACAAATTAAATTTAGAATTATGATTTTCCGTAGCGGAAGCTTTATCTCTATGAAACTAATTTGCATGAATATGTTATTCTTATCGTTAATTTTAAATTAGTCAAACTTAAAATAAAACAAAATAAAAAATGTGAATTCTCATTCTATATATCTATCTAGATGAGGGAGTACGCATCATACACATTATATAAACTATCTATTTTTGTAGAATTTTTGTAACAAGAAGTGAGACTTTTCCTTTAGAAAATTTGCATCAATGGAAATATTATTGATTGACCTAATATACAAATGAAAACATATTCTAAACATTTAGTACGATTTTGTGGGAAAATGAACAAGTTAAAATGAATGAAGAGAGTAATATTTACTTTGTTAAATAATTAACAATTCTTTTTTCCCACGTTTGTGATGTGTTTGTACAAATCAGCCATCGAAATAAAGATTATTTTATCTATATATACCTAAAAAGGTAATTCAATGTACTTAACTTTCATTGGATGCAAAACTAAACAAAGGGCAAAGAATATAAGATAGACGAATATTAAAAAGGAATATCAAAAGCTAATTAATTTACTTACTCTTTTTCCCCTTTTATTTCCTTTTGAGATATTAATGATCTGTTTGTGTCACTTGTGATTGTACCTTAACTTTTTAATTTGTACAACTTTAAAATGATGATTTAGCACATCTTTAATGATGCTTAATTATGGTTAAAAAGAGAATTAATAAGAAGTTTTGGTTTAAATTTTTGTCATAGTGATAACCACTTATATAAGAGTAGGGAAAATTGAAAATTATTTACTCAAAATTTCTATATATTACATATGAAACAATTAGCTAGCGTTTGGCCATAGATTTCCAAATATTCTTGGCAAATATTATTTGAGTAAAAATTTGAGTGAAATTTCACCATGTGTCTGGCCATAAAATTTGGAAAATATATTTACCTTTTTAGAAAAATATGATTTATACACACAAGTTTTAAAAACTATCAAAACTAACTAAAAGTTTGTATTACAAGTCAATTGAATGTTCGTTACAACAATAACAAATAGTGTCCATGACACAAAAGAAATGTGATAATTTGGAGTGAGTGCAACAAGAATTATTCCATACATCGTGAAGTAGACAAAACACATGACTTTGTTACCTAGAGCCAATTTTTAATAATTTTCATCAACAATCATATCATTATTTAATATTCACTAAATATTTCATCACTATTTTGATGTTCACGTAAAAAATTATGTAATACAACGCAAACAACTACTAGAGAGAGTGTTTTTGTAAAAGATAAAAGATTGGGGTAAAACTTTAATTTTTAAAATATCTCAAATAATGAGATTTGGCCCAAATACTAGAAAAAACTAGTATTTGGAAATTTGGGATATTTGCCAAAAATATTTGTCAAATAATGGCAAATTGTATGGACAAACATTATTTGCCAAATTTTTCCCAAATATTATTTGGAAAATTTATGGCCAAACGGGTCCTTAAACTAATACATATTTTAGTTTATATTTTCCTAAACGGACTAGAGCCATAAGTCATACTTTGAAAGGTAAAATGTTTTCTATTTAAAACGATTACAATTATTGTTGATCGATTTTATTACCTATGATTAAGAACAAAAAAATATGTGTTATGCTTTATCATAATCTTTGATCTTTTTCTAAAAAAAATTCCAATATATATTTATAGCTATATTCAAATCTGATTAAATTTAGATACGTGCTATTTTTTTATTGGATGTAAAATGCTTCGTGATAGAGGCGAGGCGGCTTAAGTATTTAGATTTTAGACCTTTGGTGTTTAATCAAAAAGAATAATCTAAAATTCAAAGGTTTAATAATTTGACATTTAGTTTCTTGCTAAAGGTTTATATTTAATTATTCATTGTACTTTTGGACATTTTTTTTCCCTTGGATACCTTCTTTGTTGAAAATGACTTGTCACAAATTAAAGAGATTGGAGATATTTTTAGGCTCACTTCTCATATTTTAGGAAATTCCCTAAATTATCTGTCACAACTATTATAGTTCGATATTCGATATTTATTTTATAATATTATTTATTAAATTTTAAACATTAAAGAGTTTTAATTGAGAGTCAATTAAAGTGAATTTTGTTGAAGATAACTTTTATAAAAAAATATTGGATACTTACTATTTTTCCTAAAATAACAGCTTCGTTTTTACTTTTTTTTCTGTGTTTTTTTTAAAAAGATGATTTAATAATATTTGACACCCTCTTTGAATTAATTAATTCAGATATGTGTTGTATATAATTTTTTGGAATAATTTTTTTACTATTTTAAAATTTAAATTAGACTTGATTATTAAAAATGGTGACTCCTCAAGACATACGTCATCCATAAGAATATCGGGCGTCATAACGTTAATTT